TTGCATTTTTACCGTGTCCACACACACACACGCGCGCGCGCGCGCGCGCACGCACACAGGGATCTCAGAATATACGGCTCATAAAAGATTTATAAATAATAATTGGAAATACAACGTAAAATGGCGCAGTAAAGCTAATTTATTAAATGTGTTTAGAAACTTTTATTAAAAAATATGAATGATGAATATATAATATATTAAAAATAATAGATAATAATTCTAATTTTGCATTCATTATGAGAGTTATGATGTGAGGAGGTATGATATGTTTTATGTATTGCATTGAATTTATAATAATATACTGAATCTAAACTATGTATGCGTTTTGGGCATAAATCTGATCCGCTAAAATTCTGTATATTCCAAACAGGGCTGCGTTCAGGAATTACACCCAGATAACTGTAAGCTATAAGTTACGTCACGTATATTATAGCAAAAATGCATCACAGTGTTATCTAGGCGTAATTCCTGAACGCAACTCAGGTGAAGATGTATCACATCAAGCCGAACAGAGATTGAAATTAAGCAACAGATATACTTCGTTCTTTATCATCTCTCTATATTTATGTATCACCAAATAACCAAGTCTTTTCTACTCTCTATAGTAATGATTTAATGATATAAGGTGAGTTATATGATATAAGGTTGCGTTACTTATTACATTGACAAATTGATTAGGGGGACTTCTGAACGACATGCTTTGCCACCTCCACACCAATAAGATGTCTACGAAGATCACCCTTCGTAGAGGTCGTCGCCCGTTGTGCAGCGTAAGCTGCGTCAAGTAGCCCGAGAGTTTACTGCCTTTGGTGACATCTTCGAAAAGAGCACTGTAATCTCCTCTTTTGAGCCGAAGAGAGAGACTGTCATCCAGAGGACACTCGATTAATTTTCTCCTCTTCCTAACTGTTTGAGAAGAAGACTTCCGGTTTTAAGAAGGGACGCGTAGTCTAATCTATTCAAGTCATCATCGACTTCCATTCTGTTCGCGTCCATGCGAGCCGACGGCATTGCTGCTCTTCGGCCTACGGCCCCTCTTCTTACGCATCGTACTCGCGAGAGTAAATCTCGTACGAAGATTCAGGAGGATCCAAAAATATATAAGGATGCTCTCCTTCGGAAATCATCTCCGCAGTATCAGAAACAGACACAGGGAAGTTAACTATATCTCCCCCTATCACTCTGATGCGCGTCTCTTTTGACAAGCAGATATCCTCCAATGATTCTCAATGTCCCGTGCCAGAGAAGCACTGTAAACCTGAGGCGCCTGCAATCGGCGAAGGAGGCTCTGAGACAGTACGTTTGCTGCGCAAAGTGCGCACAGGACTCGATTGCTCTTTATCTTGATTCAAGTTGTTCACATCTAACCCAGCCAGAGATACTGTTGGCGTAGACATCCCTAGCTTAGGTGTGATCTCCAACGCCTCTCTAGGAGCTCCACAATTATCCCTTCACACTTTCATCGGCGGTAGTTACTTTATCTGCAGAGCAACCGTCGGCAACCTCGCAGCCAACCCCTCACAGGAGTCCCCGCGGAATCTGTCTCGTGAGGTTGGCCACTCGGGAGCGGGGACGCTACTCCTGGGAAATCGCAACAGGATTCCGAAGCGCCCTGCCGTTTTCCTTTACTATTAACATAATCATATTGTATATAAGCAGCAGAACCAATCGGCCGAGAGCTTGCCAATGCACTCTCGGTCAGTTCTTAAAAAAAAAAAAAAAAAACATCAAAGATATATCCTCAAAGACACGACAGTTGGACGTCAGTCACGATACTAAGTTTTATAACTGAACATATTATTCAAACCTATTTAACGACTGATACGTTTGCCATAGAAAAAGATTTCTCTAAGGCACTCAAATGTGTTTTTATAAAATATTGTATAATACATCAATACCAGCTTCGGCTCACGTTGAACGGCTGTGCAGGAAGACTCATTTTTGATAACTTGCGAGAAAAGATGTCCGACAAAAATTTCTAAATGACTTTATTATTAAATTTAATAAGTATTTGTGAAAATTCAAACAGTATATGTATGTGAATAATGTACATGTAAATAAAACATAGAGTATTTTCTAAATGAAGTATTTGTCATTTCGTTACTTGTAAGACTGAAACTCTGAAATCATGAAATAAAAAAATAAAAAACAACAAATTTAACTTTTGACTTTTCAATTACTTTTTTTTATTAACTTAACTTTTAATTCAATTAATTTCATTATAAATTAATTTGTATCTTAATTAAGTTAGTTTCAAGGTTGTTAACTTAGTTAAAAAAAAAGTTAACTTACTCAATCCTGTGATACAAAGCAGGTTATACATGGTAATACAAAGCAGGGAAAATCAATATGAATGCTGATGCATTGTCCAGAAAATATTGAATATATGTCCAGAAAATATTGTCCCTGTAAATATTGAAGAAATAACAAATAATTAACAGAGAGGGATCCTTAAATTCACAAGAATTAGAAAATGCAGATGATATTTCTGAAATAGAAGAAGAAGAAGAAGACGAAGATTTTGAATGATGAAGAAAAAACTGAGGAACTACATTTGACAATAACTTAATTAAGGAAGATATACATTCACAATCAGTTATACAGAAAAGAAAAAATAAGAAACAAGAATTGCGCGCGGGACAAAAGGATTTCAACTTAAGAATTCATTGAAAGAGATAGAATTCAAACCCAAAGCCAAATAGTAAGAAATAAAAACTCAAGTCAAGGAGAATTTAAAAAATCTCAAGACAAAGAAAGTGAAATTGAAAAAGATGAGGATATGAATTCCATATAAATGAAGATAGCGATAAAGGAAACCAAGAAGAAGGAGATTAGAAAGGAGAAAAAACCGAAGAAGAAGATGAGGAAAATAAAGAAAATAAAAAGGAGTGTAAGAAATCAAAATCAAAGAAAATCAAATATTTGAGAATAAAATACTCAAATTCACATAAATTATTGTTTCTACGAAAAGACCATATCGCATACTTTGTTAGTACGAATGGAAGTCCGTTGTATTCAGATTCAAAAAAACTATTTGAAAGAAATGAAATTCCAAATTTAGGAAGGAAAAGCTAAAGAGATTAAATATGGAAAATACTATACCTTTACCTGTTAGTGAAGGACAGCGTGAAGGATCGATGATAATTCATATCAAAAAAGCATTAAAGGCAAATTAATAACAATAATTATATTAGGACTTTCGAATGTAAACAATACAAAAAGATAAATATAATAGGTTAATGAGAGTCAGCAACGGTAAACGGCGCAATTATTTAATGAACAATAATCAGATGTTAGATTGATGTTTTCTTTATTTTGAACGTTTCAACGCTCTTTGGAATCTTCTTCAGCAAGAATGATACAGATATAATTAGCTGTATAATTAGCTCCATAATGTTTAAGTCACTCGCAAATTGACAAAGATACAGCGTTGTTAATCTGATATATTTTTTTTAAATAAATCTTAGAGTAATATATGCGTAAACAATTAAATGATTAACCATCACGGAACATGAAGCATTGCACTGAAGTTTTATCGAACATGTTAAAACTTAAAAAGTAGAAATGTTAAAAGTAGAAATGTCAAATATAAAGATCACATATTTTTAGAACACATGTCCGTACGACGACGTGTTATAAAGATTGCGATGCATTTTATGTGTGACAAATATGCAGGAAACTTTCCAGTTGAAAATCTGAACATCATAGACATATAAATTGGAACACTGACACTCACTCTATAATTACTGAACATCGTATTGAATTTTCACATGACTTAAATTGGGAGAATATCCAAATTTTAGACAAGGAGAAATTTTTGAACAAAAGATTGATTTCGGAAATGGCATTCATACATGCAAAATAATGGCTTTAATTTACGTTCAGATATAGAAAGACTGCATCATATCTATGCAGCGATGCTTGAAACTTTCTTTTGACTTATATAGTAACTTATTTAAATTTACAGTTTATTAATTTATACAATTTGACAAAAGTTTTATTAGTTGACAAAAATGTAACAATTTTAACGAAATATGTTTTATATTGAATTTTTTCTTTTTTCTTTTTATTATGTAATTCTTTATTTTACAATTCTAATAATTTTGAGTTTTTAATTATTATGCAATAATTTCTTATCGATTTAATTTAATAAAAAATATACATGTGTTTTGTTCTTCATAATTGCAAATTTGCCTTAATGTTTATTATGTGACCTCGTATTTCGAGAATAATTCATATTTGAGTGATACGTCGTTGTATAGAGACGTGTGTTCTAAAAATATATTATCTTTATATTTGATTTTAACATTTCTACTTTTTAAGTTTTAATATGTTCAACAAAGCTTCAGTGCTTCATGTTCCATGAAGGTAAGTTATTTAAATTGTTTACGCATATATTACTCTAATAAAATTTGTTTTTTAAAAAAATGTCAGATTAACAACGCTGCATTTTTGTCAATTTGCGAGTGACTTAAATATTATGGACATGTGAGCTAATTATACTTGTATCATTCTTGTTGAAGAGGATTCCAAAGAGAGTCGAAACATTCAAAATAAAGAAGATATCAATCTAATATCTAATTATTGATTGTTCACTAAATAATTGCGCCGTTTACCGTTGCTGATTCTCATTAGCCTATTATATAATATTTATCTTTTTGTAATATTAAAAGATTTACAAAACTTGATCGAAAACTTAAATTTAGAAACATAATATTGCAAAAACAGAATTTGTAAATAATGTACCTTGAAGTGATATTAAATCTCAAATTTAATTAATCTTTATTGATTCAATAACTACAATAATTATATGCAATGGACTAGTTAAATATCCATCTAAAGATCTTCGGCCAAGTATATTTGGAGAAATGCATTGTCAATTTACCGCAGTGGCATAATCAAAATATATAATAGAATTAAACACAAATATTGAAAAAATTTAAAACTTGATGTACGAGGGCAAATCAATAAGTACTCGTGTTAGTAATGAAGACGCAAGCTTTTCACAAAAATTTTTTTTATTTTTCAATGTCAACTCCTTTTAGGAGGATACACTTTTCCCAACGCTTCTGCCATTTTTTTAACCCCTCAGAAAAATACGATTTGTCAAATTCTGCAAAATAGGCCTCTGTTTCGGCAATGACCTCCTCATTCGACATGTATCTTTCCACCGAGCTATTTTTTCAAATTTAGAAACAAGAAGAAGTCACAGGGGGCTAAATCCGGAGAGTACGGTGGATGCGGCAGCAATTCGACCAATTTGGTTGTAACGACTGCGGAGGAGTGAGCCGGTGCATTGTGAGCAATCGCGGCCGACAGCTTTTTCATTCTCAAGTTATCATGCAAAATATTGAATGCCGTATGACATGCCTATAATCTCTGCTACTTCATGCACTTTCGTTCGGCGATCAGCGAGAATCATGTCGTGGACTTTTTCAACGATTTCCTTAGTAATCACGTCTGCCGAGTGGCCTGGACATTCCTCATCAAAAACAGACGAATGACCACGTTTGAATTCGTTGAATCAATATCTGACGGATCATAAATAGTGAAGAGTTATATACCAGCTATAGATGGCATCCAATTTCGTTTTTTTATTTCTTCGCACGTTTTTCCATCAAAAAATAAGAAACGAATCACGGATCGATATTGCTCTTTTTCCATTGTATCGGAAAACGTGAAACACACTCACTACGAATTGCTGTCAAATCAAGACTATTGCATGAATCACTCTGAAATTTTGTATGGCGTCATTTGAAAGATAGTACATGATGGTAATGCCAACTTGCATCAGCAACGTCACCTGTCTTGAAACACGGATACTTATTGATTTGCCTTCGTAAAACAATATGTACAAATGTTTACAATGCCAATTAAAAAAATTGGTACGGGGTAAAACTAAACACACACAACCTATGTTAATTACTGATACAAGGGCAGCGATCACGTAATTTCAAGCGAATTTTTTTATTTTTCACTTTCCGTGTGTTCTGATTCCGCGTGAACTTTTTTACGAGTCACAACGATTATGTAATCTAAAAGATGTAAAAAGTGAAATCACTAAACACAGATTAATATAGGGATTATGAAAATAACTAGACAGAGTTTGTTTCGCCGCAATGTTTTCAAAGTGTCAGTCAACAGAAACAATGAACAATAAGATTGGAAACAAGACCGTTTATGTTAAATACATTACTTTAAATACAAAGCGCCACGGTCTGAATGTTACGATGTTGAACTGTTATATATATTTGTGGCGGATATGGTATCTCCGCCGGTTTGGCAATCGACCGTCGCTGTCGGCCTCTACTGCTCGCGTGTTCTAGTGCGAGGGTTCAGAAGTTGATACGAAGAAGAAATAGGCGTAGATGGTGTGATGTGTATTTACACTTATTTACAATGCCTTTGTCACAGACGGCGTGGTATACATGTATAGTCCTAAAAAGGGCCGTTTGGTTTGCGTCAATGAGAGACGCATTCGCGGTAGCTGATAGATGTCCACTTCAGCGGCGGTGCTAGCTGGTTGTTGTTCTTGTCCACCAATGGCCATGTGAGGGAGACGCGTTTCCGCAGCGCTGGCGGTGTCCCTGGCGGCGTATGCGGGGACACCTCTAGTGGTATCTCGATCAGCGTCGGTGAGGCCTTGCGCTGACGTCGGCTGTCCCACACGCTGATGCGTGCTCCAAAGGGGCATGTCCAGCAGGCATCTAGATGAGATCTCCAGTGGGTGGAGCGTGGTGTTCGCTCGTACTAGTAGCCGTTGATCGAGCTGAGTGGCGTTGACCTTGGCGGCTCCACTGCTGTTGGTCTCCTCTGCTGCTCGCCTTGCTGATAGGCACCTTGGCTGGCCTGATCAGCTGCCGGAGCTCGGTTACTGCTCATGTAGATGTTATCATGTGTCGGATGGACCGTGAATCATGCAGTGTCGCTTCTTGGTTCCGCGGGCCTTATATGACCCATCAGGTTATTTTCGCGCACGAAGTCCGCGATTGTCGCGCTAGCCCTCTAGGGGCTGCGTCGCGATACTCGCGGTTCGCGTCTTACGAGAAAGCTGTTCATAGCGCGCTCGCGCGTGTACGCCGGTTGCGTTATGTTGGCGCTTATAGTCGCCACATATTCATATAAATGAATTAATTTCAGAAATGATAATTGTGTCGATATGGTCGGACTTTCAACACAATCAATCTGAAATATTAATAATTCCCCCAAATTTCCCAAACTAATCTTAAAAAACTGTAATACTTATTGCGAAAAATATTACCTTGGCGGGAGTCCTGGATCTCTTGCATTGCGAGAGTCCTAAGCCTTTAGATTACAGAAACAATAAATATTGCAAGTAAGCAAAAAGAGATGTTACTAACATTATTGAAGGTTAATCCAGAATGGATAAGAGGACGCATGAACAGGAAAAACGAAAGTCGAAAAGTTGTAAGTTAAACTAGAGAATATTATAAATAAAAGATTAATGTTAATATTAATAAAAGATTAATAAATAATGTTTAGGCGGAAGATTGGGATGAAATTGCTAATGATATTAACGTCCATGCAGTAAGACCTAAAAAAAAATGGGAAAGAATGGGCAAAGATTAACTTTTTATGTAACTTTATATAAACTTTATATATACTACTCTATCTATGATGAGATATATATTAATACTACTGTTATAACCCAAATAGGTCATACTCAAAATCTATGTCTGCAGATTCTCTGCAGGCCAGCAGTTAAAGCATCACAAATCAAGTTATCTATTTTTGATTCGAAAACCGACAACATACTTTATTTTAAAATGCAACCATGCATTAATTCGACCTAATTTGTATATATAAAAACGTAAGTCTTGAGCATTTCGGGGCCATTCCGAAAAATCAAGAAGACACATGATTACTGTGAGAACTCCTTTACGCGAGCGCTACTGCGAGACATTGTAAGATTGTAACACATCGAATACTCGTAAGTATACAATAAAACTTCTTACTACGAACGCTGGCCTATATTAATTGGAGGACCTCGAGCCCTTACCAAATGACACCGCCACATCCAATCTGTGATTCCGTCACGCCCTGAGCGGCACGTATTTTGACGGTACGACTGGTTAACACGGTTAACCAGTATTATTCTATAAACGGTGCCCGGAGCGGCACCCTGAGCGATACCACTATAAATATTGGTATATATTAATATTACTATAAATAAATGTATTAATATTTAATATAGATACATATATATATATGCTAACCTATAATATACATAAAATTGTTAATATTTTCTATAATCTTCCATACAGACATGGAAAGATATTAAATCATATATTAAAGAAAGAGACGAAAAGACGGAATTATATGGAGTATAATATTAATATAATATTTCAAGGAACTGGAGGTGATCCTAGTATATCTTACAAATTTTGAAGAAGTTATAGAATTCTTAACACTCGAGGCAACTGACTAGAAGGTATTCCTGAAGGTGGTATCATTTCAATTTAACATTAAATGAAAAGGATCAAGAAATAGAAGAAATGTTCAAACAGTTAAAGAGAATACAGAAATAGGAAATAAATGAAAATGCAGAAAATATATCAACAAACATATCTATACCTGAACAAAGAAACACGTGTGAAAAGACCAAAAAAAAACTCACTTTTAAATATATCTAATGCCAGAAAAGGTAAATTATTTGAAAAACAGAAATTTATATTGTATGTATTAATACTTAATAATAATAGAAGAAAAAATATTAAGAGTAGATGTTCGAATTTTATAGGAATCTCAATGCATCAGCTATTCTGAGATATGTTACAACAAAAAAAAATATGAACTGAAAAAAAAATTAAAACTTATGAAGAAAACTTTAAGAATCCAATAAAATATATTAACAGAATTAAAGAAAATGAGAACTTCTATGCAATCACTAATATCTGAATATCTGACATTTTAAATATATAAAATATATTGTTAGTGTGTTTGTGATGCTGATGTCACCTTGTATGGAAGGTTCGCTCGCCCAGGCGGCATGTAATAACGATGACTCTCTTTGTAAGAATTCAAAATTTATTGTTGAGTTGAATTAAGATAGGTTCGAAGCGGGCGGTAGGCAATGCTCGATAATTCGATAATTGATGCGTTCGGTTAGATGCGTGCAGGTAATTCGCACTTGATACGACATCGAGGAATTTCTCACAGTCGTTCGAAAGAAAGTGTATTGCGAGCAGCAACGAAACCGGCAAATCTCGCCGGAGATTCAAGTAATTCTCGCGCACTAAATGCCCTCGCGATACGTATATACCGAGAACATTAGATGATCAAATACAGCGATAATCCGCGACGGAACTTCGGTGTGGTTCGCACTTAAGATTCGGGATAAGAAACGTTACGAATGAATAGCGATAGATGATCCGTATTGATCGGGATCGGGAACTGAACTTTTACACGCGGAACATGTGCATGATCGTCAACTTTTCGAGTATCATGCAAGGGGGTCGCGTGCCATCTAAGATAAATAGCATGATTAGAACGAGATATCCGCATGTTTTGAACCATGACGACTCGGTGTCTACAGGGTCCATTATAAAAGTAATGCGCATTTTCTAGGAAAAATAGATTTATTGATCGTAGCGGTACAAATGCTCAAAATTCTTCAAAATACTCTCCCCTTGAATCAATACATTTGCGGGGACGTGTCTGCCACGCCTGGAAGGCACGCTGAAACTCCTCGACGGGAATGTTTCTTAGGAACGTTGTAACATGCTTTTGGATGTTTTCCACGGACTCCCAATGCTTTCCTTTCAGCTCTCTCTTCAGACGAGGAAACAAAAAAAAAGTCGCACGGAGCCAAGTCGGGACTGTAAGGGGGCTGGGGGACTACCGGGGTGTTGCTCCAGTTGGCAAACGATGAAGGCCGTGTGGCTGAGGGCATTGTCATGGTGGAGCTTGATCAGCGTCTTTGATCAGCCCTCACGCGCGCGACCCGGCGTTTCAATCTCTTGAGCACCTCCAGGTAGAAGGCTGAGTTGACAGTTTCTTCCTGCGGTACAAACTCAAAATGGACGATTCCTCGGACGTCAAAAAAGACAATGAGCATCGTTTTGATGCGAGACTTGCTCATTCGCGCTTTCTTGGGGCGGGGGGATGATTTTGAGTGCCATTCGCTGCTCTGCCTTTTCGATTCTGAGTCGTACTCGAATATCCAAGATTCGTCTCCGGTTACGACAGAGTTAAGAAAGTCTGGCTCATTTTGAATCAAATCCAACAATTCTTGACAACGCGAAACTCGAAGTTCTTTCTGGTCTTCCGTCAACACTTTCGGCACAAGCTTCGCGTAGACCTTGCGCATTTGCAGATTCTCCGTCACTATCCCATGTACCGCAAATGTGGACATGTTTAGGGTGTCAGCGATGTACTGGATGCTCAATCGACGGTCGGAACGCAAAACTTCGCACACACGATTCACGTTTTCGTCGGTCTGGCCGTTGTTGGGCGTCCAGAACGGGGTTCGTCGGCGATCTCCTCCCGGCCCTCCTTGAACGCCTTGTGCCACCTCTCGGACTGTGACCTTGAAATGCAGTTGTTCTTGAAGGCCTCTTGAAGCATCTGAAATGTTTCGGTTGCATTCTTTCCAAGTCGCACGCAAAACTTGATGGCGTATCGCTGTTCAAGCGAACGCTCCATCACGCCGTGTTACAAAGTCGAAAAACACACTTCACGCGGAGGCACGTCTTTCCATTCAGATTGCTCGGAGCAAACTGGCGACCGGCTACCTTGGAAGGGAAGACCCCCCACCACATTTCCCGACCCATTTTACCCCGCTGCGATGGATATTCGCGTCACAATAAAATCATGCGCATTACTTTCATAATGGATCCTATATTTGCTTACTATCGCCGAGAATACATTCAAATTAATGATTATTCCGAAATATACCGCCCGCCTCGAATGCAGGAATTCGAAATAATTCGCATCAAAGCACGCAGGATACAATAATGGTATAACAATGAAAATGATCTGATAC